TGAGACAGTGGAAGTGAGCATGATATTTTTGCAACAGCTGTAATGTGGAGCTTGATGTGAACAGAAAGAAACAGTTTTGTAGAAATTAGCAAAGAAGTTCAAAAGTTTTCCTTCAGCTTTGTTGATACTTCGCAAGTCCCAAACCTTCCAAGTTTTTCAAAGAGCATTACTAATGCATCTATTAATCGCCGAAATTATTTCGAATAGTGGGTAATGATTCACGTGGTTAATATTTCACGCAAACTATTCGTTATTGATGAAGTACTGTGATTTATGTTAAAAGTGTGAATGAAGGATGTTTTTATTGAGCTGCATGTACTAACTTTTATATTGTATTTAATTTATTCAGTCGTACATGATACGGAAATTTTTTAAGACTGTGGGAAATATTCCTAGTTTTAAATAAGCATAGAATATTCTTTCTGTAATACAATTGATGAGGCAATTCAACGATAAAACTAACTTTCGACATGCTTTCACTCAGAGGTAAAAGTGAGAAGAACCCGAGGTGAAAGAGCCATTACCATTTATCAGAAGGAAAACAGAAGAGTCGTTATATTCGTCAAGACACCCTCTTTAAAGTAACGCTACTCTAGTGTTCTGGGTAGCAAATTTTCTAAAGCCTCTTTAATGTTCCTCGATAGGTTGTTTGCGAGAGTGAAGTAAAACATCATGGGGGAAATAAATATTTAAACACTTTCGTAGTAAAATAATTTGAGACCTGTGGTTGAAATTCTAATAAAATTGCAAAAGATTATGAAAATCTCACCCTCATGGGAAGAACAAAATACGGTGTTAACCAACTAAGTCATTACTAGTTGGAAGTATAGTACATTAAGTCCATAACTAGTGGAGCCCGTGCAAATATTCTACACTTTGTAAATCATAGCTTCATACTGGATTCTCTATTTAGTCCAAAAGAGTAATCTGTACATTGAAGCATTATAGGTCTGTCATGACGAATCTACTAAGCAGACAATTTAATTTTGCACATATTTCTTGTTTGTGAGCAGAATAACTATAACTTCGCTCAACCAGAATGCTGCATACTCTCCGATATATTCACCTCAAATGTACTCCGCATGTTTACAGCAGCTTCCGTGTTCACATGCTCTCCTTCATTTTCACTTCATGGTCCCTCGCATGTTCACTGCAAGGTTCTTCTATTGTTCACCATATGTTTTCTTGGATGTTCACATGACCATGACATACTTACAATTATTTCCGCGGTACCTCCTCACATTTCCCATAGCTTATCTAACAAGTTTACACTCACGTGCTCCCTCGAAGAGGAAATGTCGAACGATTTACATAGGTAGAGTGAAACTCACACAATGAAGTAATGAACAAAGGACGGCAGACTGTCCATTCTATTAATTTTTGGTACTATTAAAATTTAGTTTTTAGATTAAAGTGATTTATAGTAGCAAGAGAAAAAACATCTGGAGCCTACTACTTTTTATTTAAGGCAAAAACAACGAAATTTGTTTGTTTGGAAATTTCGAACAACTTCCTAACCGAAAATAACTAATATTAATAATAAGGATTTTTGTAACTTTCACAATATATGTTTCAAGCTCATATATGTATTTTATTTTATTCGAGCAAAACAACCCTGAAAAAAGTGACAACCATTTTCAAAAAACATATCGCATGTAAAGTACTCCCAAAATTAAAATACCTTAATGATCCCCGGAAAGGACTAACTAGATTTTACTCCTGACATATTTACCATTTGAATGCATTTGCTATCCGCTTGCATATATCTTAACTATATTTGAAACAGTTTTACAAAACTTTAATCCTGATGTATATGCAGAAAGAGCTGAAAAGAACATTAAACACGGATTTTATATCCAATATTCGGAATCATGTACCATCGTATTATCATATCAACCTATACGATATTATAGGGAGAAAAAAGTTAATATATATATATATATATATATATA